AAAAAAAAAAAAAAGAAGCCTGCCACAGAGAACTCCCTACTTATCTGGAGGAAGTAATCACTAATGTATTATGGCCATCGCCTGCAACCGATTGCTGTTAAACACGATAACATTTGCACTGCAGTACTGCCTCTAATGAAGTTCCTGTCTGCTCATCTTTCAAGTATGATGCAGACCTACCATTTTGCTTTGGAGTCCCCTAGTAGATTTTTCCTAAAGTGAATATTTATCTCCCAAATTTATTTCAGTTTGTGCTTCATCTTTCTGCACAAGGATACCTAGGCTATAAGCATAATTTAAACCCCATCTATATGCCTTTCCCCTCAACTAGGGAACCAACCATGGAACTATGGAAGACACTACCGAAAAGAGAAGTATTTGCAATTTCATGAAATCCTAATTTTTTTAATAAAATATATTTTAGAAATCCTTAGTATAATGATAAAAGGTTACTTTTTTCATTCCTTGGAAAGCTGCTGAAAAATAAGAACAAAAATACGAAACATATTGTAGTGAGAGAAAACATTTTATATTTTAGAATTCATCTAATTGGGAATTATCTCATTTCCTCATCTTCAAGCCTCCTTACAAAGCTATTTACTAGTGCATTAATATATTTTATATTTGGTACATAGGGTTACATCAGGCCATTTGGTGACTTTTTCAAAAAATGTAAATGGTAATTAGAATGTTTTTTACCATGGTGGGGAAAAAAGAAGAAGCAAGAGGAACAAAAGTTGTGCTATACCAGTAAATCTTGGAAAGATCTCCTGTGATGACCCCTCAGGATTGCCCATGTCCATTTCTTACTTTCCAGTATTTTGGTTAACCTCACTGACATTGCTTCTTGGTGGTTCAAAATACACTGCCCCCTTTTCCAAGGGAAAGAAGATAATAATTGCTAGCAAAAAGACTTCCAGTCTCCAGCTGCAAAAATCTCTCACTCAGAAATGTATCAACCTTTTAAAACTATTCATTTTACCAAGTCATTATCAAGGCATTTTCCCCCAAGATAGCTGAGGTCAGTGAATGAACAATAAATGGTGTGTACTGTACATTCTGATTCTTCGCTGACCAGGTTAGAAGTGACAAATATGCTCTAGTCCTCAAATCCAGGTCATTCAAGATTCCTGATATATCAGAAAAAGCTCCTGCTCTTTTATCCAAATGGGAAAGCTATATGGTATATAAAAGAAATGGTGTTTTGAAACATTTTAATAAATTATTTAACAAAAGATAAATTAGCATTTTAATGTCTATTAAAAGAGATTAAAAAAAGAGAAAAAGGGCTTCCCTGGTGGCGCAGTGGCTGACAGTCCGCCTGCCGATGCAGGGGACACGGGTTCGTGCCCTGGTCCGGGAAGATCTCATATGCCGCGGAGCGGCTGGGCCCGTGAGCCATGGCCGCTGAGCCTGCGCGTCCGGAGCCTGTGCTCCGCAACGGGAGAGGCCACAACAGTGAGAGGCCGGCGTACCGCAAAAAAAAGAAAAAAAAAAGAGAAAGATAATTCTTAGGAATAGTAATAACAACAACAAAAAAATCCAGGTTCTTTAGCTGACAGGGCAAAAGCTAAAAACTCAGCATCTGTTATCTGCCTAGCAATGAATGGAAAAGACCCAAGGACCTGACCGTAGGCAACAATATTTCCCTAGGTCACCCTTTCTGTTGATTACTACCCTGTCTTATAAAAACACATAATTAAAGCAGCTGCATAGCACAGGGAGATCAGCTCGGTGCTTTGTGACCACCTAGAGAGGTGGGACAGGGAGGGTGGGAGACATAAGAGGGAAGAGATATGGGGACATATGTATAACTAATTCACTTTGTTATAAAGCAGAAACTAACACACCATTGTAAAGCAATTATACTCCAATAAAGATGTTAAACAAAACAAAACAAAAACACGTAATTACAGAGTTAGATGAAAAGCATATAGTCCGGCTCGTGCAAAGGGCATTATTGAACATTATTGAAAGTAATGTACGTTTTTCTTTTGCATATTCTTTTACATACCATTCTTCTGTTCTCTGGAAGCATATTTTTCCCTTTGAGAGGGAGGGAAGAATTGTTAGAGCACGAATGCAAAGAAAGGAAAAAGCAGATAATCAGCTTTTGATACCTTAAATACACTGAGTCTACAGAAAAGCAAGTCTTGAAATTTCAGCTTTGTAGAGGAAGACAAGATTTTCCAAATTCTTTTAAGCTGGTTGACATAGCATGAGCCAGATCTGGAGGGCTTAACAATTGAGTTTTGCAATAAGCCAGAAATAGAAGGAACTTGGGATGCAGTGCTACCTCTGAAGGGGAAGGTGGGCGAAGAGGGAAACCAGAAGAACTGAGCATTAGAGATTACTGAAGACAGAAAAGCCTAAATATAGTTAATCGGCAACTCTGTTTCTCCCTCTCCTTTCACTTCCCCATACATTGTGGTGGAAGGTCACGAGGAAGATTATATTAGTTAGAGAGTGCTCCAAAGCTACAAATTCTCTGCATATCCAAGTTGCAGTATATACACATTCACTGTGACTCCACTGCAGAAACTATTGGGAGAGGAGATCAATTGTTTGACTCCCTAAGAACTCACAAATACACCCTAACTCACTGGGCTTCAATAAATCTCTGAGTGTCAGGGTAGAATAAAAGTCTGTGTCTCCATATTCTAGAGGAATCAATCCAGCTTCAGACTCTTTTTGTCATTCTGTCCCACAAAGTTTTGAGGACTTTTGACACTGGGGCTGAGTTCCACTCAAGCCCAACATTAATTTTTATATGAAAGCACAGAGATTTTTGGGAGCCCTGTGCCTGAAACCATTCTGCACAGCCTTGCTGCAAGCCCACCCCCAAATCATACTAAGGTTCCATTCACCCATCTCTGCTGGTTACTGAGGCATAGCCTTTCTTTTACACCACTTTAAGGTGCTCAGCATTGCGGTTCTATCCCCTACTCATGAGTTTCTTGCCTGCTTTGTTGCTTATTACTCACTGGGGAAGTCACATGGGACCGAAGCAACCAACTTTCGAATAACTAGGACCCAGGTCGGGAATCTGATGATCAGAGATCAGGAACCAAACCGTTTGCCTTGGGGACTCTGGGGTGAGGAAGTGAGGATCTAGCCTTGGGGACCAGAAGGACCAAATGCCCCCACTGTTGTGTAGGGGACTGGGTCCTGGCCAGTCCCACTTTAGTTTATATCGTCATTGGCAAGTGCTTAAAACAACATTTTGGAGAATTTAGGAATGAGTAGCCGAATTCAACCAAATAACCAGATTTTTGAAGAGGTGACCAACAGGTTACCAAATACTTTTAAATACTCCTCTGCCATCCAGTTAGGAGTTGTCTTCACACTGTGGACAGCAGCTGAAGTTGAGGTCAATCCTAACCTTGGTTTTCTAACACTCATTCCATCAAGTTGATTATCTTTCTTTCTTAGACCTTGCTTATATAAAGCCTTACATTTTGGTACATATCCGCTGCATTGTTTTTAAGAAAATGGGATTTTGTTAATGAGTGGTGGGACAGGGTTACCTTGTTTGGCACGGTTGCTCATTGCACTTGCGAATCTGTGGCTCTGGCTTGGTTAAGTATTTGCATTTCTTATTGTCCACAATGCTGATATTTTTGTTCATGATTTTCGTACAAGACACTGTTGTCTTCCTTTCTCCTGAAAAGAGCAAAGAAACATAAAAAGAAATGTTATTTTAGGCCTCTATGCAATGGACTTATTGCATAGTCTTATATGCATGTTTATTCGAGGTATTCCTAGACTTGTAATTTTCATATTTTAAACAAATTTTAGGTTAGATCAATGAGGATGATATTTTTATAATTTATATAACAAAATGTAACTCTAGGCTTAAGGAAGATAATTTTTTTCTTGTTAGCAATTAAATGGCAAGTTTTATAATACAAAGGGATTATTGTGCATAAGTTGATAAGACGTCATTTAAAGATTTTTATAAAGGACTGTGCCATCTTTTAGCATTCAGTGGTGGAAAGCAGTATTTGTATGAAACCTTTGTGCACATAAACATGCATATAAACGTGTGCACATTTTACCATCTGGCTGTATATACCACCAGGGGGTAAGTTATGGGAAGCAAGCTTCTCTTGAATATAACTCAGACCTATATTGTTGTCACTTCTGGTAAAGACCCCAAGAATTCAAGAAACCCTCATTCCCTAATGATTATCCTGTTCTCTAAGAAAAGCCATGGGAGTTTTCCCATTTTCCACCAGCTTTCAGAAAACTGGCTTTTCCCCTTTCTCTGTATGCTGTATTCATTTTGCTTAGAGCCCTATAAGCACACTTGCTTGACAACACTTATTATTTCATCTTACACTGAAAAAGCCTACTACATATGTGCTGATTCTGTTTCTCTAAAAAAGTTTAAATATCTATATAGGATTTAATAATTTAATTTAACTTGTTTGACATTATAAAATAATTAAATCAGCCAATAATTTTAAAGCCAGACAGGTCATGAAGGATTAAGAAAAAAAAATCACAAGTCTTTTGGGTCACTATTGAAGGGCCCATTAGTTAGGAGCTTATGACTATCATGCAATGATAATTAGGAAGCTCAGAGCATTCATACTGGTCATGCCAAACAGGACAGCCTGGGCTTGTGGCAGAGAGGTCACTCTGTTCTTTAATTAACAGAGAAGGAGGCTGGCATCAAGAAAGGATGTAGAGAGAGAAAGAGAGAGAGCTACTTTGAATAACTTTTGAGTATCTTTTATTTTGACTTGAGGGGGATTGGGAGAGACAGGGGTAACCAAGTGGAAGGCAAAAGAATAGAAACAGGTTCAGGATCTTTCCTTGATTACCCTCTCAACAACACTGAGCATAGTCCCATGACAACTTGTAGTATAAAAACATGACTATATCTACATACATATGTGGATTAACTAATAATTATATCTGTGGTCACTGCATGTCATGTTATTGAAAACATTTAGATCTTTAGTTCCATCTTCTAGCATAGGCAGCACAATGTTGGCTATATTATTTTCTATCTGGAGAATCCCAGAGTTCTGGAGCAACGCAATTTTTTCTATGGGAGCTCAAGACAGACAAGAGTGCCAAGCAGGTAAAAGGTCTTTTCCTTCGAGAGGGAAAAGGCATGCCTTCAACCAGGACTCTGTGGCACTCAGTGAAGGGTGCACCAATGGGCCAACAATGGGGAGGGCCTTGAGATGGACATCCAACCATAGATAAGTAAAAGGTACCCCCCAGGTACCTTTCTCCACCGAGAAGCTGCCTTGGAACAAGGCTGCATGACTTGGCAAATGGAGCATGGGCTGGATTGCGGTCCCTGGGGCAAGAACTTTATGTGGAGTGCCAGCTGCCTAACTAATGCAACAGCCACGTCTCAGAGGTCCACTAGCCTGACCTGTGCAGCTCATGCAGTCAGGTAAGCTTATGCTAATGTGTAGAGGAAAGGCAACCTTACAAGCCCCAGGCAAATGTTTAAGGGCTGTCCAGGCTATTCCTTGGTAGGTCAAGAAGGGTGGGGTGAGGCATTAGACTTAATCATAATAGTGTTCAATACCCATCAACTTCAAATAATTTTCAAATAAGCTGCTAGATAAGCAGAAATGACTTATGATGTTAATTTTTCTTCACAGAAGAAACTGGCTTTACTAGGTAGGAGTTACCTAAATGTGAAAATTTGGGAAGTTTTTGGTCAACTTCCACCTAGTTTCCTATGCCTCAGGTGCTCCTATATGACCTTTATGAAATAGGTGTAACACAAATTTTGTATAATGCTAGCATATGTAAGTATTATTTCTACATGACAATGATGCCTACCTAAAAGTAGGATTAAAATAAATGTTGCTTTTATGAAATATAAATAGTAGTTTTAAAATCTAATTTAAAACCTCATAGTTATAAGACACTCTTTTATAGAATAGATGTAGTTGTCTAAACTAATTTAAATTTAATGCTTTTTGCCAACTACAGCACAAAAAGATGACTAACAGATAATATCCAGAGAGCCTTTGCTGAACTTCAGTGTAGCCACAGAATGAGTAACTCAGAGCTAATTACACTGCATTTTTTCCTTTACTCAGAAAATATCTAACCTTAGTTATGTTGGCCCAGAGGTAACATATTGAGCTTTTGAAAAAAAATCTTTTAATTATTGATATATCAAAAGAGATACAGGTACTGGCACCATTACAGGGAACACCTTACTGGTGCTCTAAAAAAGTATGAAGGCATGTGAGTATGAATTGGAACATTTCCATCTACATTGTAGCAAAGACCCTCACATCATAAGTTTTTTGGCAGCTAGAAGAGGGATTAGCCCTACTTTTTAAAAATTTCATTGAACAAAGACAAAAGAATCAAGAAAAGAAATCTAATGCTCAGCTACAGGCACATTATGCCTATGAAAATACAACTAGGATCTTAAAGCCATACGGAAATGTTATTGTTTGATTTTTTTCTTTTATATAGTTTTATGTCCCAGCCAACACAGGAAATTTCCATTATAGCATCTAACAGCAGTATTTACAACGCATCCAGTACTGTAGAACCGAGGGATGAACAGAAAGTGATGAAGTAACTGGCCTTCTGCCTGAACCTTGAGTAGCTGCAAGCTGTTGACAGTGTATTATTTGCTTTATGGCAATTAATTTCATCTCTGGGTCATTCCCACTAAATCAGTATTGGGGAAGTCTGTTTTGAACATAATTACAAATAAAATACAATAACCATTATATATTCATCTTATTACCAAATTTGGGCAAAATCTGAAAAGAAGGGGTAATTTTTATTTACTGATTCTTTCTTTGTTCTCTGAAGACACTGAACAGAGTACATATTATGTTGTGTTCCTTCTTTTCCAATCTCAGTGATAAATTGATTTTTTTTCTATGCTCTGTATTTAACTCATGAAATGGAAAATTTTAATAAAACTATAGTCTACTCAGGTAGATCCCATTTCTAAAACCTGCATCATACATGTAGAAACAATCTGGGGAGTGGGTTCAGTGTTTTAATACGCATAACTGAAATTCTCTGTATGTTATGGGACATTTCAAACTTTTAAAAAAATTTTTACTTTTTAATTTTGAAATAATTGTATACTCACATCTACTTGTGAGAAATAATAAAGAGAATCTGAATACCCTTTTCCAGTTCCCCACAGTGGTAATGACTTGCAAAACTAGAGTACAGTATCACAACCAGCACACTGACATAGATATTGTCAAGATGTACAATATTTCCATCACAAAAATCCCTCCAGTTACCCTTTTAGAGCCACACCCACTTCCCCTACCATCCACCACTCAGTGAGTCCCGGCAGCTACTAACCTGTTCTCCATTCCTATAATATTTTCAAGAATGTTTTGAAAACTGTTATATACAGTGTATATACAGTGTATAACTTTTGGGGACTGACTTTTTTACTCTGCATGATCCCCTTGGAGGTACATCTTCATTGTTGTATCATTTATTTCTTTCTACTGCCAACTAGTAACTCCTGCTGTGGATGGACCACAATTTGTACAACAATTCATCCAAATGTTTTACTAAAACTGGGGAAGTCTATAAGAAAGAGACTATATATAGTCATCTGTCTTTACATTCTTCTTTAAAAATTTTTACTTAATTATTTTCTATTGAACTAACAATGACTAGCAAGCAATTGAACCAAAAGTAAAAATACTTTAATGACGAAGAAGGTCTTTTTTCTGAGCACTTCTTAGAGTTACATAATGTCATGTCCTTTAATGTCATGTCATGTCCTTTAATTTTTAGCCATTCTTTTTACATTTCTATAAAACATTTTTTTCCCTCAAGGTTTGGGCTTAATATTAAAATGACAATTTCATTTTTTATTTTAATAAAAAATTGTATTTTGTATTGTTCATAACACTCAAGAAACAATCCAATGTGATCTTGTCATTTCCATACACACAAATATTTTAATGTAATCCCCTAACCTTCAAGTTAAATTTAACTTGAGTGCTAGCATAACACTTAAGTGCCTTCACGAATTACCTTCTTTCTACTTTTTTGGTCAAATAATTTCCCACAGCTTGATCCTCATATTTTTCACTCTACTAATAAACATTCTCACTAACCCCAGGGCCTTTGCAACTATGCATATCCCTGGAAGGCTTTTTACAATTCCCCATATCACTCTGTATGGTGCTTTTTTATTATCTACCCCCAACTAGGTGGATAGTAAATTTTCTAAAAACAGAAAGTACTCATCTTTGAATCATCCAGCAAAAGTGCAAGTACAGTCAGTATTGGTAAAGGAATCAACAAATGAAATATAAACATGTAATTCAAGCTCAAAGTACTTCCTGCACTAAGAGGTTCATCTCAACACTGTGTTTCCTAAGATGGTAAAAAATCATGTGCAAACTAAATGAATAATTATGGGAAATAATTATATATGGCAAATCTAATACATGGATTATTATTTAGGTGTTAAATTCAAGTTTATAAAGAGTTTACATTAATATAAACATTCCTATTAATTTAAGTAAAGAAAGCATCAATAGGATACAAAATGTCACTAAATATTACTAAAACAAAATAATGCAGAGAAGAGCAAAAATTTGGTGCGTTTTTTTTTTGCTAATAACATTTACTTTGGTACATGCAAAGTGCCTGTGAAAGGGAAAAACAGGAAAAAA